TCTTCATAAACTTCACATATCTTTTTTACCTTTTTATTTTATTTTCTGGAAAAAACAGAGCATCAAATAACGAAAATACATCTTATTTTCTTCCGTTTTCATTTTTAACGTAAAGGCATAAAAGTTACAGCGTACATACGAATCGTATAGAAAGATGAATTGAAATAAACATCACCTTTCAGAATATTTACATATAGGAGTCGGTGACATCTTAAAATAAATCTGTTCAAACGACACTGATTGAAAAAAGGGAATTTTGTTCCAACTAAGATCGAAGAAAAGAAACGATGACATTATGTCTGCTGCATAAATCCTTCGTGATATTATAAGAATAAAGAATAAGATTTATCGGAAACTAATTCTTTACTTTTGAGCCGCACTGCTAACATAACAGGCACAGAATGACTATCCGATAGCTGCTCGAAAAAAAAAAATCAAGATGTAAGAAATACTAGTCAGTGGTGAAAAGTGGATCTATTTTGCTTTTAATTTGCCCTTCGTTGTAAAAATAAATGTGGAATCTACAATTGATTTAGATTGGCAAATAAATTAGTTCAGTCCACACGTGTCTTTCACATTGAGTCTCTGATCCTTTAACATAATGACATAAAAAAACTGTGTAATCTGACCCTAAGCACTTGTGTCAAATTTATTAACAACGGGTGAACAATGTTTAAACTCGACATTGTCTATTTAATGTAATGCAATTTGTTATGTACGTCTGATTCTAGAATCAGCCGTTTGCTGACAAAGTGGATTTGTTCAGATGGAGGGCTGAATACTAAAGTTACACTGACACTGAAGTTACTAAAATAATATAGTAAAGATGTTATGAAAAACAATGAAATACTAAACCTTACAATAAATTTGAACAATATAACTAACATATGGCCGCACTTAAATGGAACAAACCTTGTTTTTCAACAAAGCAAGAAAAGATTAATACTTTAAATTTATTCACCAGATGCTATCGCCACTGAGTACTAAATCAGTATTATTGTTTTCTTGGAGAAATGACATGTAGAAAGATCCAATAACAATCTTTGTAACAATTGTAGGAATTTCTCATTCGCTTTGAATAAAACAATTGTTACCACAATCTTAACGGTAAAAACCCTAATGCATGTAATAGGAAATTCCGGTTTAAAAACATTCGAAAAATCATCAAAAGTCTGTTTATAATTTCCTTTTACAATAAGTTTCACCCTATACAAAGCTCGGGGGCCACTCAAGGTAGAGGGTTACGTTAAGTGGCAGTTTATACGGATAAGGAGGGGAAGATAACGGTTAAATTGAACAAGTTAAGATTCTAGTAATCGGGGAAACATCCTCTAAAGAATCGGTTCCATAGGGCAGTGATTCGCAGGAAGAATGGAACTTACTTCTCACTAATGGAATACGGGGGTTGGGAGATGGTGGGTGGTTTGCTACTATGTAAGTGGCATGGAATACAGTTCGTCCGAGAACTTTTCATGGAAGTAACACTTCGCTACACCCCGCCTGTGAGAGGTTGGAGGGTGGATAATAATTGGTAACTGGCATAAATTCGGAGACGCTTTTGAACTCTCTCGGGACTGGACATTGAAGATTAGGAAGCTCCCGCCAAAATAAGGCAACAGTACTCCATTTTCGGCCTGATCTGGTTCTTATAAAGATAGATGACAGCATGAGGTGTCAGATACTTACTGTCGTGGTACAGAGAGCTGACCATTTTAGCTGCATATTTAGCGAAAGATCGTATGTAAGAGTTCCACGAGGTTAGATGTGAATTTGAGTCCCAATATTCTCTCAAGACACAATGCCTCACTGAGGAATGGGAAAAAAAGGCCTGTATCACTGAAGAAAGATTATTTCATAGAGGTAAAGAGATTTTTAAAAAACGACTGAAATTCATATGTAATTGGGATACCTAAAGATAAAATTATCTTTTCTATAACAATTTGCTTACACTACGGCAAATTTTGCAATAGGCCATCTTAATCTTAATCAGTAACACTCAGACATCAATTAATTTTAATTATTAAGATGGATGGACAACTTTGTGACATAAGTACCAATATTTGTAATTTTCTGTTACAAATTAAAATAAAATATTTACAAGAAACTTTTCCAACCTTACTTCTATTTTTCTCTATCGATAGATGCGATTGTTCACCATCATTTCTCAAGAGAGCAGTTCAATCTACTTCTATTGAAACTCAGCCCCTCGTAAAGAATTGATCTTCTTTTCATTCAGATATAAATAAGTTAAGAAAATATCAATCAAATTACTTATTCATGAAGACAAAAAAAAATCTGTTAGCAAGTGGATGTAAATGTGAAATGTTTCTTTTGTTCGTACTTCAATAATTCTGCCATTTTACTTCGACAAATTTTGGCTTAAAGTGACAAGTTAATTAAAGACCATTGTAGTCACTACGGGAGTGGCATCGTCAAGTTCTTGATTGTAAAAGGGAGTGGTGACAAGTTTTCAATTCACTTACCAAAATCTGATCAAAAACATAGGATTTATTTTTGGAAGAACATTTTAGCACTCCTCCGAAAAATCTATAAACAAAAGATGATCTCTTAATAGTAGCTACAATTATTTAGCCTCTTCTCGTCAGCACTGAGGCCAAAAGCAAACGAACCAGCGTTTAAAAGAGCAAATTCTAGGATCACTACTATTCGCCAGATTTGATTTGACCATTTCTAGCAGCAGAAATAGATTTTTCTCATTATCAGTGTCTAAACCATAATATTCAAAACTTTTTCTCTTATAAATATCATCAAAAAATATTATACAGAAAGTTAAGGCTATCCGATTTGTTTTGACCATGATTAAAACTAAGAAAATTGGCGTTAACTTTCATCTTGATATAAATTTAGGTACCTCCACGAAATAGCTAAAAAAGAGCATAGCTTGATGAAAAAGACGCCAACCTTGCCGAAAACAAAATTTTATCGTCTAAATGCTTATGTTATTATTAAGAGGAAAGACCAAAGTTTTTTTTTATTATTTTTTTAAATTTTTCCTTCTTTTTAGAACATTCTAAATTTTGATTAAAAAAAAACTAAAAAAAAACCTTGTTTCTCTTTGTATCACCGGAACTAGTAAAATAACAGACCATTTTTAGCACGTTTTTTTGGTATGGCATGCATTAATTTGGAAAGTCTTGCAAAAATAAAAATATTGTCAGATGTTAATGAAACTTTCGGGAACTATTCACAGATGATCGAAATTATTAGAAATATTTTTTATATTTATTACCCCTCACCCATAACTAATTTTATGAAAACGCTAGAAATTCGATCGCATCGGGTTTAGTGATTACAATAGTTAAAAACACAAGGCTTTGAGGAATGCAAATCATGTTTTTGTTTTTAATTGGACCTCCCTACCTGAAAATCAGCTCTGAATTGTAACATACAAAACTCAATAAAACAAAGATATTATTTAATTTCAAATGCTTTTATTTGCTTTTAGTTGTTTTTATGAATATGGACAATATTTTCTGAAAGCAAAAAAATTTTTTCGATGAAAAATGAATTTTTAATACAATTATTTGTTATTTCTTAATTATAATAGATTTTTACATTTAAGTTGTTAACTAATTATAAAATTAGTTAAAAGCCGCATCGCATAAGTCTTTTTTTTAGATCTTTTTAGCGCGTTGTAAATTGTATCATTTTGACTAATCAGAAAATCAGCAGTAATTAAGAAATGTAATTTTGTGTTTATAATCGGGCTGTAATTATAAAGTACGGAAGACCAACCAGAATACAATTAAGTTGCGTTATTTGAGTTAAGCATTGTTCTCCGCTGTTAAGGGCTTTACTTTTGCGAAACACGTGTGGAGAAGTTAATTTGATTTTTCAATTTCAACTGAGAAGGGTACCTACAAGTATCAGTATCATCTTATGAAATTAATATGATCTTATTTTTATATTAATCTCAGTTATGACATTTTTCCATAAATGAAATATCAAAATTAATAATAAAATACATGTAAATACAAATAACACAGTAAAATGTAATAAATGTACATAAAATTATAGTATTTTATGTACACTTATAAATAAAATTTCATAAGAAAGGTACCTATAAATTAATTAGAAATATATTTTCCATAAAGCATCGTAAACGTAAAGGTGAAAGCTAAGTACAAAAAAAAAAAAATTAGAGCACTGAAAGTTTTACTCAAAAATAACGAGGTAAAATTTTTTTTTTACTTAAATGTAAATTATTTCACTTTTCTCCTTCCGTCGAACAAATTATCCACACGGAATCCGTCAATATGTCAATCATCACCTGTCAAGTGACGCGAAAATTTATGACCTGCTTTGTTTTATTTTCAAATTACATCTTTTCGGCGCAGAAGCTAAGTTAAGCTTGGTTCAAAATATTTCAAATAAACATTATAATTTCTGATTTTCTTAAAATAAGTTTTGAAAAAATGATAATTGATATTTAAAAGAATTTCAAAGTGAGATTTCCAGCTTTTTTTATAAAATGGAAAAAAATGGTCAATTTTGCTGACTCAAAAAGAAAAAAAAGATTTTTAACGAAAATTTCGGACGTGCAAGGAACGATTAAAAAATGCAATAAAATACCCCCAAAATACTTTGATCTTTCCTCTTAATAATAACATAAACATTTAGACAATAAAATTTTGTTTTCGTCAAGTTTGGCGTCTTTTTCATCCGTACATAAGTTTTTCTTGTGTACATGTTATATTAAAAATGAAAATGAAATAAAAATAAGTTATTTACCAAGATGATCGGGAAATATTAAAATAAAAATACAGGTAAAGTATATTAATCTGAAGAAATACATGAATTTAAAAAAAAACAAAAAAAACAATGGGAAATAATGTTTTCCGATAAACTTTCATTTTAACATCCGTCAAAAAAAAAAAAAAAAACATTTAAATTGCAATTAATAACAGAATATCTTTCAATTGATTGGTATATTTTTTTGATTGTCAGAGTTCAAGTTGTTTGTGGTCGAATGCAAAATTTCAAGAAATTGGACCTTCATCGATGTCGGGAGAGATCTCGCCCAAACAAAATTCTTCAGTGATTGGTGTGTCATATTCTCTCTGGCGTCCTTCAACAAAATACGACTTGACATTTCCGGCATAACCCTGAAAAAAATTTTAGAACTATTTAAGGATTGTAAATGACTTTCGAAAAAAAATATAGGAAAAGGAAAATGATGACTGAATCGATACATTAATATCCACAACGTTTTTAAATTCAAAAGACGATTGTTCTCAAACAAGGAAAACTATTAAATGATTTTCAGTGAGAATTAATCAGTACTCAATTGAAGAAATTGAATTTCTACTGAACTTAAAGCTTTAAAACATTTTGCATATAATACAATTTTCAAAATAAAAATTTTGCGGAAAAATTATGACAAAGTAGGCAAGGTTTTCGTTTGCCGCGTTTCGTCCGATGAAGTCCTAAAGTAAGAAACACGTTACATCAAAACCTTTTTAGTTTTTCTCTAAAATTGTTCTTGATTTTTTTTAATTCTTTATCGTTTTTTCCAAAATTAAAACTGAAAAGCATCTTTGTTACTAAGGAAATTTAATTTTGGTTTACCCTATGATTAATAAAGTTATTCTTTATTCATAAGCTACTAAGAATTTATTATATCGAAAAGCTTTGAGAAGTCTATATCCAAAATGTATCTGAAATTTCCAAGGTGCAGATCATGATGTGTCGCCTTGAACAACACCGTCAAGATGAAGTTGGTTAAAACTCATGAGAAACGAGACTTATCTGGCTTACAAATTCTAACATGTTATCTTTTCAAGATAACATGATGAATTCAGTTGCAATGTAAAATCAGCATCAAAATGGAATAATTCATTAAACTTATTTTTAATCTGACACAAGATCACAAACATGGAAAAGGGTACTACTTTAGTAATGCTTAGATTCAGACGAAAATATTAAGCTTTAACTTAATTCAAGTTTCGTTGAACACCCATGATGTGAGAAAAAAAATGGAAAATCTAACTGATCTTTTTTTTATTTTTATTTTTATTCTGTAATATCCATTAAAAGAATCCGCCCTCATCTGGGTGGGGGACGAAGAGAAACGCCACTAGCCATCGAATCTCTATTTTCGAGTAACATCTTAGAAAATTTTAATTTTAACCGAAATTCTTCTGCTTTGAAATATTCATTTTTACTCGGCAATTCGCATAGTTGTCAATTATAAGATTTTTTTTTTTTTTGCATGAAAAAAGGTGATGAATTCTAAATTAAAAAATTAAAACAAAGCTTTTTTGTTTATATTATCTTATATAAAAAAATGTTTTTTGTTCATATTTTTCTTAAGTTCTCCATACTATTGGAAGAGTTACATCCCCAAAACTGGTGATTGTTTCATGAGATTATAAAGTTTTCCATGATGGGAGGTTGCATAAATTACTAATGTTTGCATTTAACAATACATCTACGTAAATAATTCCTATGAATCGTTTATGGCGTATGTTCACTCCGACGGTTCCTTTCTATTTGTCCACCATTTCCTAAATCGTTTACCGTATATAACCGAGTTTATATAAGGCGAGTTTATTTTTATGATGATCGGTTTTCTTACGTAAAAAATAGGGGCTCGCACTATACAAAGGTAATGTTTTTTGAAGAGGTTAAAAAAACTGCATTTTTGGTGACCGGTTGCACTATAACAAGTTATTTTCCTGGAAGAGTTAAAAAAAAAAATTTTCCAATTCTAAAGCTGAATGCATCCTACACTTTGCACCCCCCCTCCAGACTAGTGATCTTTATTTTGCGAGTTTGAAATCAGTTTTCTCTTTATTTCTATGCTATTTCGACTCCACCGACAGCCATTCGACACATGTGACTAATGCTGTTACCGTTAGGTCGTCCATATATGTTCGAAACATTGGGAGAAACATTGCCTGGTTCTTGCTTTTTGATATCGGATCCATGCATCCGGCTTCAGCCAATATGATGAGTAAATTCATTTGATAAAACAGGGTCACCGATATATTGCAGCCAGGCATTATTGTCTTTTTGTAAATCTATGCCATTCAGTGGTTGTCTTTAATATACTCTAATATTAAAATTATTATAGTAATCATTGATTAACTCATTAATTTCATTGGGTAAATGTTTTTCTAATGATTCTTGAGCATTTTCCAGATCTAAACAGAGGAATACTAAATCATTTTCTTTTACCTTCCGTACAGGTAAAGTATGTTACACACATTCTGGCATTTCCGCTATTTGCACTGAATTGTACCAATATTTTTCTGAAGATGGCATAATTGTCTGGCCAGCATATCGAAGCATATCTTACCTTCTCTATTTAGTAATGATATCATTCTCTAATTGCTCTAATTGTTCTGAATTCTCCTGATATCCATATTCTCTTTGCTCGTTTACGACTGAATCTTCACTGGCTACTCCAGACTTTTGGTATTGTGCTACATCTAAGCTACGCTTAACGAATCACCATATTCTCTCTGCGCGTTTCCAATATTCTGCCGCTTTTTTCCTCAAACATTGTGCCATTTATAAGCTGTAGGCTACACCACTTAATCCTTAGCAACTCCGTACATTCTGGATTTCGTTCCATCTCTCTACTTAGGTAACAAACAATGTTTGTGGCTTCAGGATTTCTTTACCTATGCAGATATCTGTCTGTATACGGACCTTTCATTTTTTTTTTTGGAGATAGTTAATAATTTCCTCAGAGCTGCATTTCAACTACCCACGTCTTTTATCCCCAAGAAGATTGTTAGTGAATCCGAACCGGTTGGCGAATTCTGCTATCTTTCTAGCGTTCTTTATTTCTTTTTCTGTTTCATTCAGCACTTCGCGTTGTTTTAATTAAATTCTTTTCCTATATCTCGTCTTTCTGCCAACGTTTGTTGATCTTCAATGCTGACTCTCTTGTACTTCTTTTTAGTTAAGTTCCTTCAGACAGTGTTTTATTGTTACTACAATTTGCTTCGTAAAGTTTTTTTTTCTCGTGTTTTTTTATTCCCAAACTATTATAGTTGTTTTTAAACGCCTTTCGGTGTCTTAATCTTATCTGCATGATTTCATTGACGTCGTTATCAAACTTTTTCCACTTTCCTCTGATAAAGAGGGACTACGTCATTCCTTTTAATACTACTTTGTCTTGATTTTGATCGGTAGTAGCTTATATGGACTGGGCACTAGTGTTTCCTGGCCCTGCACCGTCTGCATCCAGTCTGTGCGCTGCTCCTGACCGTCATTGTCTACATATTTCATGCGGCCTTGATGTATTTGTAGGCCTTGTTTGTTTGTTTTTATAGATCTTTTTGTGAGTGCATTTTATCGCATTCTGTGCGTTTCGGCTCTCTAAAAACATCTCAGGTGATTTAGCTCTCGATTACCACCCGGCTTCTGAATCCGATGAATGAATCATCGAATCTTGGTTTATTGGTTTGATTTGTTATAGAAACTACAAAGAAATGATTGGAAAGAGATAGCTGATATTTCTGGAACTCAGTTAGGAAAGAAAACTTGTAGAATGTAACACTCACAAAACGTACAAGATAAACAGTGATTAACCTACTTAACAATTTTGAGTGGATGGAGGACGGAATAAAGATAAATCAAGGAAGTTGTGGAGAGTCATGACCACTCACGTGCTGAAATAAAATGGCATATAATAAGACAAGAAATCGAACTTATTATACTTCCAATAAATCCGATCCAATAATTCGATATTTATTTTCTACTTTCTGAGCACAGCAAATATAATCCATTTAATATTTAAAGTTGTACGTATCTTATGATTTCCGTTTTTTTTTTATACACGGAGAGTCATTCATTTTTAGGAAAATTTGAATGGAAACATTCAGATTTTTTGTACTGATTTTACAAAAAAGGAAATATTTTTTCAAGTCTGTTTTTTTGATTTAAAGAAAAAAAAACTCGCTTGCCGCACATACATTTCCCTCGTTTTAACGGTGGAATAAAAAATAGAATAAAAAAAATTCTTTTGGAAAAAAATGAATGTACAGCGTTGAGGTGTGCATTTTCTAAACTATCGATGTTTATAGGAAAATGTCAATAATTCGTTGCCTTTCTATATTTCTGAGTAAGGTATTGTAATTATTTGTCTTGTTTGAAATTCTAATCACCTGAAGAAGGCCGAAGCGTACAACGGCCGAAACGTTGTAAATACGACTACAAAGATGAGGATAACAGTCCAAACAATGTAAATGATGTAAATAATTCGCTGAGTAACTAATATTCATTTTAAATCTATTTGAACTGCATAAAATCTGAAACATTCCCTAATAGTAATTGTTAGATGTGCATCCACGTATGGCACAGTTGGAGTTAATACCACTTTTGGGATCTTTTTTGTTAATTCACCGCAAGAAATAAAATTTAAATCCAAAGTTTTTGTGTGTTTGTGTGTGTGTATATATATATGTGTATATATATATATATATATATATATATATATATATATATGTCTATGTCTATGTATATATAATTAAATTGTTGGTACACTTTTGAAATTTTAAATCAAAATTTGTTTAGCTTTCCAACCCCCAGAATGAAAAAATGACCATAAATCAGGGAGTTATTCACATTTCGTATGTGCAGATGATATTCGAGATACTTACAAGGATTTTTAACAATTTAAAAAAGGGAAAAAAAAAATCTGTTTTTTGCACCCCATACTTAGAAATAGCGCACCTTATTTGGGTTCATCGTAACGGTCAACTTAATGGACGTGCAATGGAAGGACTTCGCTCTAGGAGAACTCGATACGAATTTTGTTAAATAAATTCTTTATATTTTAGGTTGAATTAACAGAAAAGACACCACTTTTGTTCCATAAAGTGGAAAGACAACGTCATTATTGAAATTTAATTTTTTCTTACTTTTATAGATATATACCCGTGATCAGATATTTGAAAACCTCCGATTCGATCTAGTTCTTTTTTTGTGCTGTGTGTTATGTGGATTTTCATGGCTGCAAAGAAAAGATTTGGAAGCAAAAAAAAAAAAAAGCTTTAAGTGATCATTTATTTTCAGAAACCGAAAAAACCGGAAGATAACTAAAAAATGAGAAAATGTCCATTTTAATAAAATGTATATAAGATTAACTGTTTTACTAATGAATAAGTAATGTATTTTTGACCTTTCCTGTTATTGTAATTTGTCGATCTAAAGTAAATTCGACTCTATTGACTTCAGATTATACAGAAAGTAACTGATTTTGGAATATAAGGACATAATGTCAATGTGGGCTGCGATAAAATGTCAAACAGGAAATACAGATTAAACATTAACATTTTGTCAGTAAGTGAAACGAGGTGAGCAAATAATGAGGATTTCATAAGCGGCTGACACGGTCATATATACAGGCGGAGAGAAAAATAAAATCTGGACTCATACGAGAATGTGATATAAAGAAATATCTTCTGCGATATTATCAACTGTCTGACAATTTTTCTAGTTATGATGAAAGGAACGCCGTTTACTGTTTTTATTATTATTTACTACTACTACTACTACTACCGCAACATCAACATGATAGGAGACGTAAATTTTAAAGTAGGAAATGACCAAGACGTTGAAATAGTTGGCAATTACGGTCACAGATGACGTAACGAGGGCGGAGATAAAATGGGTTCAGAGGTGTGTCCAGCAAACGACCAAATAATGACCAATACCTGGTTACGTAAACAAACTGCATACAGAGAAAATGAAGTATACAAATATAGAAAGACAGATCAAGATTTGTTGTTTTCTTTCCGCTTCCTAAGGACTTTTCTGCTTAACCTGATGTTTTACTTACAAGAAAGTCTGAAATTGTATTTTCTTGGCAATTATTGCTTGTAATAAGCTGCATGGCATTTCTAGATTTTTCAGTAGAAAATCCTCAACCGTATGAAAGAAAAGCCATTCAGACATAATAGCATATGTTTTAAAAACGTGAAACGGCAATGTTTTTATACATTTTTCTTTTATAAACTTCAGAATTTTAACTCCTTAAATTAAGGATGAAGTGGCTAAAATTTGACACTGTCTAAATCTCTGAGGGTTTGAGTGGTTACTATTTATAGTCTGAACGATGGACTTATGGATTATAAAGTTGATTCATGAATTTGGTTTCATAGTGAGAGCTTATTCCCTGGGTTCGGGAGTGAACACTCACTCAGTACAAACGGGGGATAGCAATAACAGAGCAATACTAAGAAAATGGGATAGAAATGGACAGTAGAAAAGAGAAATATCTATCACCGTAGATTAAAGAAACGGTACAGTTCGAAAACCTCTGATCAACAGAAGAAGGCCGGTGAGCATAACGGCCGAAACGTTGTGATAGCAACAAAGATGAAGACATTAGTCCGAATGTAAATAAAATCTGAATCTACTCGAGTAGAATTTAAAATAAAATTTAACGATCACACAATCATTATATAAAGCTTGTTTACTTAAAATTATCTTTGTAACACTTGGACCACAGGGAGTTAATCAAACAAAGGAAGAGGAAAGAGACTATTAAATGGATGATAGTTTTTGAAATTCTCTGAAATTGAAAAGTTGAAGAAAATTAAAAACGATGATGTGATAAAAATTGTTTTGAAATAATAAAATGAAATCAAGAATAGTTCCAATGAGAATATAACCTAAATTTAAGTAGACGCAATTCAGCAAGATTTATCAAAAGTAAGACTTCAGTCGTTCCTCACTTCCCACTGATAAGAAAGAGACAATGTAACATCGAAGATGTCGGTCCTGGAAAATAGAAAGACATATATTGTCGGTAAAGAAAACTGGAAATAACGTTAAAATTGTTCTGGACAAAGAACCAGGAAATAATCTGGTTTGTGTCGCCAACACAGAAGATAAATATCACAACAAAAATAAAGATTAGCGCCTAAGATTTGAGATGGGATCGTTTATTTTAGTTTCTGTGACGTTCGTTAAGATTTTTATAGCGGACATTATTTTTGATTTTTTAGAAATGAGCTAATAATGATTATTTACTAGTTTGGAGTGGCCATAGACTGTGTGATCTTGTTGACCGAGAAACACATAAACAGAGAAAGGTTATTATTATTATTATTATTATTATTATTATTAATAAAGGTGTTGGGAATATTTTTTCTTTCCTTTTCTCCCCCGCCCCCATGAATAAATCCATTTTTGAGATTGGCTGGCAGGTGGCGATCCCGATTTGCTCCAATTATCTTAGATATGGTCAAGTCCCTGAAATCACCTAAATCAACCAGTGTGAGTCAAGCTGATAAAGAAATCTGAATTACTGGAAATCCCTTTTTTGTCTGTACATTATAAAAAGTTTAGAGTCGTCACAAAAACAACTGTACCAGTCATTGGAAATGGGTTGAGGAAGGATGCTGAGAAGGTGGGAGAAGGAAGAAAGAGATTAGCACCGCCTATATGGAGCGATGGTGCGAGGTGAAAAGTGAAGGAAGTTGGAGTTAACGGGCAGCTTGATTCCTCTAACCACTCTTAAAAGGGGTCTACACAACCGCTAAATTTGGAAAATTACTCGACTAAACATATTTTGAAATTATGGGATTTTAGAAAAATGTTGATGTTAAGGGTTGGAGATAACCGAACCCCCAGATGCTGGTCAACCCACACCTGCTAGACGCATGACTCCATATAAGCTGGAGATTTGGACAACTTACAGATTCCCCAGATTACTGCTATTGGAATCCACATCGTTTGCCGACACCCCCTGATGAAGACCTTGTGCCAGCACCGAAGACCAGAACTTAAAAATTAAAATTATTACTAACACAAGCTGTAAACTCCAAAAGGGAATCCCAGTTTCATTTAATTGGGAAGGGTTAAAACCGCTGTATACAACAAATTATATATGTAAACGAAATCGTTGTTACACTTTTTAAATTTAAAATTAATTTATTCCAAAGAATTCTTTTTGTGTAGCTCCCAACCGTCGACGTGTTCTTCCCTTCAGTTTACTTCATCAGCATTCTTCTCACCCTCTGAAACACAACGTGACAGAGGAGTGAAGGATCGTGAAGGAGACGAACGCTAGTCTGATCGAGTGGAACCGTGCTTATCATCACGATACCAGCGACAATCCAGCAACGCCTTAACGAGTGAGGAGTCAGCTAAATGGTAGCCATGGTTTTCCGAAGGTACCTGAAGACCAACGCAGCAGAGAGACTGGGCTACATCTTCTAAAACTACTCGAAATGTTTATCATCAATTAAATGTATTACCTAAAAAAATGGAACACCTTTATCTTACTTGTAAGGTTACTAAATATATCAGAAAGGACTAAGTCGTCATTCATCGGGAAAAACAGTCTTGAAAAGAGAGAAAAGTGACTAGCAATATGGTGGACTGAACATAGATAATGCCAGTGATCATAGAATAATCATAACGTGTTTTACTCACGTTGACTACTGCTTTCCATCCTCGAGGAAAGAACAACTGTGTAACCAAAGAGACAATATCGAGGCATCGTCGACCCAACTACTCCAGCTAGACAGGGACCTGCAGAAAAATGTACAAAAAAAAATAACAGATTATCCAGTGACAAAGATAACTTTATGGCTCAAGGCTGTTTTGTAAAAGCACAACTCAGCAGATAGCAAAAAAAAAAACGAAAAAAAGGTACGTTTACAAATCTTTTCTTCAGGCGATGAGGCGTCGATTTCACTTATTTTGCATGTGCGCTAGTGAGGGCGGCAGTAAACCTAGAAGATTACTTATGGGTGTGTGGAAAAATTATGGAAACGTATAGAAATATTTACAAATTACAGCCCCCACCCACACCACTACTCGCTGTTGGTTGTTTATGATCAGTGTTTTCACGCTTTCTAAAATTATTTTTAAATGGAATAGAACATAACAACAATATATTTAAGCCAGTTTTTTCTTTTTAGTTGTTTTTTCTTTTGTTTCATTATATATTTTTATATATATATATATATATATATATATATATATATATATATATATATATATATATATATATATGTGTGTGTGTGAGAGAGAGAGGTTCGGATGGTGTAATAGCGGCTTGAAATGAGAAATTGAAGAACAGATCGAATTCAGTGCAAATAACCTTGGAAAATGCATAAATTCTTCACTTTGTCCAGATTATCTTCCACTCTACAACCTCTTTCGCCGTAAACAGCAACTTTGCAATCCTATCGCTACTTCCATGCCAAATTATCAGATGAGCTTCATTCTTTAGTTCTACCAGTTAAAACGGTGTTCTAACACGTCATGCCACTACTAGAGAAGAATCATCCTCATTTCGTACGGGTTCCAAATGCAAAATGAAAATTCTACATGGTTTTCCCAAGAACTGACACTTTGTGCAACGCACGCTCTCTGCATGAATGCTTCTTTGAACACGACAATCTTGATTCTCTCTTCAAGTCAAAGCTCAATTACAATCTTTTTTTAAAAATCTTATTCACCCCAAGCATGGCAATAAAACCATTAAGACACAAAGATTACTGGGTGTGAAAGAATTAGAAAATGGAAACATTATTAAGGAGCAAAAACAATAAAAGTGATCAGAACGACAGTTCATAACGATTGCATTTAAATTACGGAAGATCAAAGGTGTCTGGAAATCATGGAGCCGGAAGAGTTCCACAGGCGGGAAATGCAAGAAGAATTGTTAGCATAGAATTTACGGTTCCATCTAGCCATCTTAAGTTGATGAGACCTTGTTTCCAATCAGGTATTGCGCTTAAATTCATAAATTTAGATATCATAGTAAAGAGCTCATCCGAACAATTACCATGAAAATATTTCTAGAAAAGACACAGGGAAGCAACCTTACGGCGGTGGGAAAGTAACTGAAAGCCGGGATACCAGATCAGGACAAATAATATTGCTGATTCTTCTTTGGATTTTATCAAGAATCTATAAATATATAGCAAGAGTACCGAACCATATGTGGCAGTAACATTCGAAGCATGAACTAATGGTAGATTTATAGATATGTTAGAGATTCTAGAGAGAAAAATTGTCTAGCATGACACAATGAACCTGTAATCTTTGCAGCTGCCCTAGCATGGGATTCAATACAGTTTTTTTTTCACTTCATGCCAACCGAGAATATTAGCTCGAGAAAGCGCAACAAGTCACTCTCCTGGGAGTTAGCATTAGCCATGCTGATGTAAGGCAGAAAGGGGTCTCTCAGATGATTAATAGAACAATTTTGTTCTGGAGGCATTAAAGTTAACAAGCCATTCGCTGCCTCTGTTAACAACAGACTTTTTTTTTTTTAGATCAGCCGCCAATTTGACCTTATCGAACTGATCAGACATATTGTTGAGAATTGGAGTAACTGGTTGTCATTAGCATAGATACCAAGTTGAAAGCTGATGCCCTCAGGAAGGTCATTAGTGAAAACTGAGAACAGAGTAGGACAAAGTATAGCGTCCTTTGTACTAACCCTGTCTTATCCTTTGTGCTAACCCTGTCTTATCCTTTGTGCTAACCCTGTCTTATTCTTTGTAGTAACCTGCGTTAGTACGAATGGGGCTAGACGAGTGGCCGTTCATAATTTGATAAGAAAGACGGAATCAGTTAAAAATATCTTCCGGAGACACCATAACTTTTCAACTTGTGAAGAAGACCGGTATACCAAATCCTGTCCAACGCTTTCGAGATGTGTCCAAATCAACCACCCTTACTTCTCTATCCTCTTTATCCTCATAATATTCACTTATCACCTCTTTCATTCATATCACAACTCAAGTAACCCTCTAGGCAGAACCTTGCATTAGGTGAACACAAAACGAACACACACGTTTTTTTTTTATATATATATATATATATATATATATATATATATATATAAGTAATTAATTTTTTTTTTAATCAGACATAATTAATTTTTTTATTAATCAGCTTAAACGTTATTTAAAGTGATAAAAATATGAATAATTAAAAATCTATTACTTCATTAAAAATTGTTTTGTTTCGGATACGAAACTGAGCATTTGGAATTCTAAACGAGAACGATATTCGGTACTTAAAGGTAGTCTACAGCCTGGCTTAATCGACGACGCTTTTCGTGGCCGAAACTGTTAAAAGCACGTCGGATCTAACGACAGTGTCTCCTGCGAAAAGGGACGCAAGTTTGAATCCTGCTGGAGCAAGCATTTTTCATTAATAAGATTTCTCGATTATTTAAGTTGGTAGGCGAAAATATACTGTTTAATAAATAAACGAGGCGTCTACTCAAATATAGGTATTTACTAAAAATAACGTTTAAATTGATATATATATATAATATCACTTTTATGTTGGCGCTGACATGCTACTTTCATTTGATGATAATGAAAAGAAGTGAACAAAAATGTCTCGTAGAAACAAAAATGTCTTGTAGAAGCCATAGCACTAAGATTGTCTTCAAAGGTTGATTAAAAGTAATCAACGTTTGATAGTAACTGTGGTAAGACTTCCGTCTTTATTCGAATCATTCATTGTGTGTTTGTTTGTTTTTTGGGGTTTTTTTTTTTTTTGTTCAAGTAGACAAAAAAATGGAATCTTTTTCTCGAAAACAACGCCTACGAGCCACTCCATGTAAAGGGTTGCTGAATGAAATTGCTGTAAATAATGTCTGTTGAGCATAAGCTTAAAGAGGTTAAGCGTGAAGTGATCGGGAAAACATCATTTCTGGTATCTGTTGCACAAAGTATCGATTATTGGATAGCTATCCGGATGGAACTTCCTCTTTACAAATGGAAATGGATGAGAATGGAGATAATTAGACTCTGTATACGTGGTATAGCCTGGTTTTATCGGTAATGGTCTGCACTGGTGGAATTAATGAAAGTAGCTCGTCCAAATATTTTCCATGGAAATAGCGATAGCGAGAGGCTTGCGACATTTCCTCAGTGGGAAAGGAATTGTAGGATGGGAAATAATTCATAACCCAGGCCACGTCGACGTTTTTTTTTCAAGTTTGAAAAGTAAAAATTGACCAGCTCCAGCCCAAATATGGCAGAAATACTCTAAATTCGGATTGGAATGTGAAGCTTACTCTGCACGTATTTACTCTTATTTCTTCGATTTTTTTGAGAAAAAAAAAAAAAAAAAAAAAAACTCACCGTTTTACAGAATTTTTTCAAATAATAGAAATAAGTATTTATTATCTGAGAAATCTTTTAATTGTTTAGTCAAATATTTTTTGTTTTTCAGAGTTATTTTCGGACGTTTTTTTTAACTGTTTTATCGGCGCGAAAAGTGAAATTGGCGAATAGAGTTCGAATTCTGACATTGTCTGTTGCCTTCACTTGGGGAAAGGTATGAATCAGTTTCCTTCCTCTATCTATGGGTTTAATCGTAAGGAAACCGAACTTTCTAACAGCAATTCTAAGATTTAAAATTCCGTGGAAAAGACAACGATGAGAAAGCAACAGGAAATCACTACATTGTTTTTTCCAAAAAATTATGGAAATTCGAATATGTTAAAGGAAGTTGTTAAAAATCACGATCATCTACACCCAAATGCGACGCGTGACATAAACAATGTAACAAGATCGATAGACAAGAATATTACCATGTTAATTTTGTTCATATAAAATTTAGACATTATTTCACTTAATTTATGCAATATGAGTAAACCTAAGAGCTCACAAGCCTCATCTAGTGAACCCATCGGAATGTCAAAGTTCTCATCCATAATTATCTATTAATTATTAACGACTAACGTTAATACAAATTGTGAAAACTTTGACATGCATAATATAATCTGACATAGTGCGTGCATGTGCGTACCTGTATTGATACCTATTCTCACTTGCAATGTCCAGTCTGGCCTATGATTAATTTCATAGTGCTGTACAGTATCCATTACGTCCAAAGCTACATTAGCCACTTCTGCTGCGTGTGTATCACACCTGTCAGGAACATTGCTGACCAACATGTAATTATCTCCGATTGTTTCAACCTGTAGATTAAAAAATACACGTATTTTGTCATAAATGATTGATGCAAATAAATTCACGCCTTCATCGCCAAACGACGTCAACGTTTTCGTCACTGTTAGATGACAGACGAAGGTTAATGACATAAAATGTCGCTATATTGAAACTCATGCCTGAAGGTGTTAAAAGCAAAAATCTTTCTCTGATATTATATACTTTTTTATCTTTATAATTTTAATGATGAAATTAACCATACAAGAATCCATCTACATTAATTGACCGACAGATTTACCGTCGGCTGAAATTTATAAAATCTTTTTCAGGAAACTAGGCTTCTCAAGTCCGCTGTTATTTCTCTTTTTAAGTATTAGCAGGAATGTTTTTCGAAATCTTTTTAGTGTGGAAAGTGCACATCATTTTTATATCATTATTTTCTGTTCACTATTATAATATTCTTTTCGATTCTGTAGTGCCAATCTATGAGATCAGATGAAGGATTGCTTTCTTTTAGGCCAAGAGGATTCATTCACTTGAATCTATTATCATTGATTTGAGAAAGCCGTAAATGGCTGATAGTTTAAACATTTCTGACCCAGTTGCATGAGCGTCTAGATAGAATGAGGATTTTTTAAAAGATTATTCGAGTTTTTGTTTAATATTTTTAGTTTTGAAGAATCTACGGTTTTGGACAAAATAAAGCAATTGAATATTAACATCTCTCTACCACTGCTCTTTATCTAATTTGAATACAATGATATATATAATTGTGTATTTTCACAGCTATCACCTTTTTATATAAGTTTTATTGAAGACTATTGACAAATCTCTGCGATAAAGATTTTTATTAAATTTTTCTTACATTCGTACAAGCGCTTTCGACTAATCTATTAACAACTCAGGAGCAAAGATTAAATCTACATAGAATCAAGATTATTTAGACATGTAGACAGTTTTTACAAATTGTTAAAGTTCTGATGTGGCCACTTGAATTTACTCGGTGTTACATGCACTGATCTTTTTTTTTATTTGTCTTTAAGAATAAAAATTTTGGTAAATGGAACGTCAATGACATTTTGTATCAATGGATAATCGATTGGAATGGTTAGGGTTGCATAGTTTAATTATTGTTATTTTTATAGCGAACCTTAAAGGATTAATATGACAAGATTTAGTCTATGTTCGTCTATATGACGACAATTAACAATGAAATGTTCTTACCTTGTAAACATTGTATCTGCTTAGGATTTGATCGAACGTTTCATACAAAGCGTTTAAAAAATTAACGATCTGAAAGATGAAAGATGCATATCCACTGAATAAATTCCAAACGAATCAAGTTAAAGACTCGAAAAAACGTTTCATTCATTTATTTTATACATCTTTGGAGTCTTTTCTGTTAATTCCCTCCAAATAATGTAAAGTTATTTACCGCAAATATTAATTCACCGCAAGAAATAATAAATGTTAAATAAAAGTTTGTTTTTTATTAAATTTTTAACACTCTTGAAATTATAAATTTTAAATCAAAATTTGTTAGCTTGCCTTGCAACAACTCCAACCTTCAGAATGAAAAATTACCAAAAATCAGGGACTTATTCGCATTTCGTAAGTGCGGATGATATTCGAGGTATTTACAAAGAATTTTTACAATTTCTAAAGAAAAAATTTGTTTTTGGCTTGTTTATCGAGATGAACGCGAATGTAAGACCCCACACGTAGAAATAGCGCACCCAAGTCGCCCACATTTCGAACTCACAGGTCAGCCCAACCGGAGTGCAATGGAAGGGCCTCGCTCTGGAAGAATTTGGTGTGAATTTTAGTAAATATAAATTCTTTTATTTTGTAGTGAATTAATATTTTGGGGTGAATTAACAGAAATGATCTTTTATATTATATACTTTATAGTCGATTTAAAACAAAAAATCACATGTGGCATGCAATCGATATTTGATGTCATACACGTCATTAGAGAGAGAGTAAAGCATAAAAGAATATCGATCAGTACAGTACATGAAAATATTAGTACAAATTGGTGGAAACGCTTTGATACTAATTTGAAAATCAATTCATCTTTGTTTTAAAAGGCATTTTTAACCGATAAATATTTTCAAATGAGATTTTACTTTTTAGCAAACTTTAATTATAGGATTTTGAGACTGACTAAAATGAAATGGACCGTAAATTAAAAAAGTAGTCGTCACGGCATCATCATTCTTTGCCTAGGCTATAAACAAACTTTATCCTTTCAACTGTTTGAATCCCGATAACTACACGGATACTTCCTCTTTCACCGTTGTATAGGAACAATAGCAGTGAAAAGATAGTGCTACACTGACAACTTACATTATCAGCCAGAAGCCTTAGCCCAGGCATTTTCAGGAACTGACTCTTAAAAGAAGGCAACTATCGGAAGTTTCCATTTCACTTCTCTTCATTTACCGTCTTCCTGAAGAATACCTGACCATTATCAATAGCATTGATATCCTCAGGAAAACATAATTGATTCGCAATACAATACTATCAATTGAAAGGCTTGTCTAAGTAGTTTTATCCTCGGCAATAAATCTTGAAATATGTCTGACATTATGCAGCAGATGTTTTCTCCATTGAATTTGATTTTTTTCTTTTGTTTATTCTAATGGCGGGAAAATGTTGGGAGCGGACATTTTTCTAGTGCCTTTTGCATTTAGAATTTAACTCTTCTGAAATACATCTGGGTGGCACCTTCATCTTATTTTTATTTTTTCTGGGATGGAATTGAGGAACAGGATTCCTTGGTATGTGACGCTAGAATGAGGTAGGTGAAGGAGTTAGCCATAGAAAATGATCGTGAGCGAAATAAAGGTAGATTTTTTTTACCTTGGTTTCCTGAACGTTGAAACCTTTGAGAGAAAATATTGTTAGTCATCAATATTATTGCTGATCTTGCTAGTTTTATTACTTATGATTACTGTTGTTATTGTGATGTTAATGCCTCTTTTTCATAAATTATTTTGTCCGTATCTTTATTGATGTTGCTGCTGTTTTTCGTTAATTCTGCAATTTCTTTTGTTCTCTTTTTATTTGACTATACTTGTTATTCTTCTTGGCTGGATTTCTACACTTGTTGACACAACTAGTCGAAGGTTCTTCTATTATGCTTGTACCTACTGCCCTCAGCCTGTGTCCTCTGTGAAGACGCATTTAGGGCCTGCATGTCATTTCTAATTCTTTGCTGCCGTTGTCACTGTTTCTTAACTAAATAAAAAGATGTTGTTGAAGGGAAGATTACTTGATGGATTTCTGAGCTCTGACGGTAGTTGGGGGAGCCAAATGTGATTGCTTTCTTTGTTAAAATGACGAAGAGCAATTCGAAGAGGTTGTAAGAAATAAAGAGATTAACTGCTGGCGACATTCACACACCGCGACACTATATATTAAGCTTTAATATCATTCTAACGTCACTTGTCCGCAGTCAATGAGCACTGAATTAACATAAGACGTTTTGTTTGTATTCAGTACTGGGTTACATATCTCAGTAATGTTGTCTCGTAAGGAAATAAAGAGAAGACAGATCTTAACAAAAACAAAACGCTTACTTTAGTCGGTGCATTAAGCACGAAATGATTTTGTTAGAATACGTAACGAAAACTTGCGTTCTGTTTTGAAATTTGCATAGAAAATAAGTCAAAATAATTGTGTCTGCGCATGCGTGCGCCTTCCATAATATACGTCAGATACGAGGGGTTCTATAATAGTTGTCGGAGAAAAGAAGGAAATGACGGTTTGGAGTTCGAGGCTGTCTGAAGTGTAAAATGTGTTCGTTAAATAAAAACTGATAAAATATTTCAAGGAGTTTTGTTAGATTTCATGAAGGAAGCATAAAAATTGAAAAATAAATGATATCAATTTGATATCTTTTCGTTGCTCTGTTAGTAATCTAATACATTTTACCAATTTTTACAATTTATTTTCTTTGGTTAGAATGTTTTCTTGTATCAAATCTGTTGCGACTTTTGCAGAGGCATCTGGTTTTCAGAATTACATATTTTTTTTTAATTTTTATTTCTGAAACTGAAGCAATCATTTTTCCGAGATAATTATTTTCTCCCATACTGGGAAATTTGTTGGCATTTAATTCTCAACGATTTATCATATCTAACATGGCGTCTTCAGAGGATTTTATTTTCAAAGTGTCCATATTGTAATGTGACACTTTATCTTAAATTTATTTTATCTTGATAATTTTTTGTTGTTGTATTATTTTGAAATGTTTTATCATTTTTTTTCCCTCTTCGCTTGTTGGTTCTGCATTTCATCTCCAATCAAAACAATTTCCGTAATGATAATATTCATATTTTGTATTTGTCTCGTCTTGGAATGTTTAGAGGGGGGCAGCAAATTCTGTAACTGCCCCAACTACAAAGATTTACTTAATATATATTAATCCTGGTATATGGAGGACAACCGGCACTCTCTCTTTGATTATTTAACTTTATTTAATTCTCTTCACCAGCTCTATACTGCCTATTTACAGGTACGTCATTTGTAATGAAAAGCAAATAAGCTGTGAACAACGATTCGAGATTATTGTCGT